AATGACATTTTCTATGAATGCGACAAAACTAAAAGGTGAGTGAGCATTCCTTCAGTTGCAATGAGGATATATTTTACTTTATTGCTTAAGGTGAATCAAAATTTTCTTAACATCGTTCTTTTTCTGCCACCAAACTTTATACGTCTTTACATAGAACTTCAAGAAACGAATTTGAGAGAAGTGATCACAATAACCATTTCTATACGAATGGCAGATCTGGCCATCGAAGACAATCAGCAAAATTTGTTCGTAATGAAAACGGTTGGAGATGTGCAGTGCGAAGTGCCCTTCAGGCTGTCAGCCGAAAACACCACAAATCTCAAGGCTTCACTTAACGCAACAATACGTACTCCAACACTAGATGCTTATCCCGGGCAAGTTGAATCTATTCCCATCGAAGCTCTTTGTGTCATTTATTTTCATTCTAATAATATGGAAACGCTGGTCATGCTCCCTGTGTTGACTGTGCGAGACAAATTGCGCACAAAAATTTGAGCCATTGTTTTAAGTGATGCTTATTGAGGTCCGGCGAGGACATGGATTTCAAACGGGAATAAATTAACTTTGCGTCGTTTTGGAATGTTTTCTTTCGTCTACCGGAATTGATCATGCCTAGTTGGCGTGACTAACAGATTGTTCAATAGAAAATCAGATCTCTGAAAATTTTGATTTCGAAGAAATAACTAAGATCATTCTCTTATTTCCACACAAACCGATGCATATAATCAGTTTTTCATGGAAACCCCATGCCATGGATCTCACTTTTAGAAAGGGATCAAGGAATTTAACTAAAACATCAAGTAAGGACATGGACATATCACACCGACTGTATGACGTGCGCGCAAGACTGCTTGATGGGGTGAGGATTTGGCAAAACTGAAGCTATGGTTCGAATACAGTTGATGTCCCTGCACGGAAAAAGCAACTTTGGTATTTCATGCGTTGTGTAAGAGCTCGCTATTATTGATTGAGATTAACAGAACAGATGAACAGATTTTTATTGCTATTGTTTTTTATTAGCATCTTCTCGTTCATAGGATAAGTTATTGATTTCACGAGCGTTGCATCTGTCGATATTTATCAACAGTTGGTTTGATTAAATCATTACAAGTCTCGCGGCCCTGATGGAGTTCCACCCGTAGTTCTGAAAGAACGTACTGCCTTCCTTTCCTCCGTACTGAATGCACTTTTCAATATTTGTATTTCGCCGCAACCTATACCCGACTACCGAAGATTGGCTTCTATTGTTCCAGTACCGAAGAAAGGATCCTCAAATTCCGTGTCACTGCTTGCACCTCAGGTTTTTAGAAGGTGTTAGAGAGGCCCCTAATTAGGACCCTGTTCACACAGTTCAATGCTGCTGACCCGAACCAGTTTGCATACACCGATTCCCACGGTACGCTGGATGCCCTTGCTTACCTGACCCATTTCGTTTCATCCAACTAAGATGAGAAAAGCAGGCTTTACGCATGTTTTCTTGACTATGGTAACGCTTTCAACGCAACTAATTAATCGACAAATGTTGCTGAATATATTCTTTTCGGATGGAGTTCGATATTCTACGATTAAACTCTTGCCCAACGTTTTCCCCGACTATCAGCATTTCACTAGCTGTAATCGTCATTCATCTGAACTGCTGCCCTCCTCAAATGGCATGGTGCAAGGTGCTATTTTCTTTTCTTTACTATTTTTCTGCTTACATTTTATCTATGCCTGCGAACTGTTCTTCCCTTGTTAAACATGCAGACGATATAATATTTGGAATACCATTTCACAACCCGTCGTTTCAAACCCCTCTACAAGAAAAAATGTGAGAACTAGTTGAGTGATCTCAACAACAGAACCTCCGCCTGAACCCCTCAAAAATATAATGATGCACTTTTTCTATTTTTGAAAGAGCAAATCTAGGATGAATTATCAAATACCGCCCTTCCTAATTTATCCTCAGTAACCAGATGGAACAAAAACCGTCTGTCAAATACCTTGGTGTTATTTTCCACCATAACCTCACCTGATCTGACCATGTTAATGATGTTTTTCAAATGTTAGGAGGCTCAATTTTTATGTTTTACGTCTTACGTCACTTTCTTTACAAAACCTTCTCACAAGGTATTTTTTTGCTTGCGTTTTTCCCTAATGGCTTTATGGGTCCTCTGTCATTTTTACGGCCTTTTATCCATGACCTCAAACTCACCTCCCGATCCCACAGGTTGCTATCAGTTTGTAGTCTCATATCAGGGGAGCATCTGGTACACCATGAGCTGACACACTACCTTAAGTCATGTTAAAACGTCCTTTTATAAGATTTTGTCTGATATTTCCAATCCCCTTTACTCGGCACGTAGTCAATGTTTTTCCCATTGATACACCTTTTCCATTCATGAACTTGTGTGGACACGTACTGAAGCTCACATGCACCCTATTGTACCGCCAGATTTCTAACAAACCATAAAATCGTTTCAGGAAATCAGCGCAAAATTTAAAGTATACCAATCATAAATACCCGGTATACCATTACCTTCTTGAGTTTGCTGTCCGTTTTTACGTCTTTTATTGGTGTACTATGATATTTTTCACGTTTCATTGACACTGTCATGATATGGTTGCTGAATATCCACCTTTCGAGGTGTCTAAAGCTATTCCCTGACTTGATGTGAATTTATTCCCGTTTGAGTCATCATGACAACACAAAGTAGCAAACAAGCTCGATTTTGGTGCTACTTCAACTGGCTGAATTCAGCACTATTTATAACAGATTAAAACAAATGGGGAGAGGAGACAACTATCTGCGAAGGAAATCAGAGTTGAAAGAGAGAAGGATGAACATGTGATAATTGATGTTTTTGAATGTGTATGTTCGTGTGTGTGCGTGGATAGTGAGAGAAAGAGAGTGGTTGTGAATGAGTGGGCAGGTGAATGAGCGGTTGATGATAAACACAGGTTACGTCACCAGATTGTCAGTGCATGGCCATAATAGGGCCAATGCTCCTGCAAACTGTTTCTGGGTGCACAAAAGGCAGACGGATGGTAATCGCCTCAGCTGTTGACAAAATTCTAAACTTGACCTCTTTGGATAACCCACCCTTGACCGTGTAGAGAGGACGGAAAGCCCCAAGCACATTGACTGTGTGATTAGACTCAGTCAAACGGTTTGTGGTTTCTGTCGCCCCGGTCCTTGACAATCCCCGGTTCCAAAACCAAACCAAACGGGATGATGCTCCTTGATGCGATCAGATAGACGCCCCACCGTTCGACCCACATAACTTGCTCCACTGGACGAATTCAATCTAGCACCAAATTCGCCTAATCTGCGGCTGAATCCCGCATTATATCTATGTCCAAACCGGTCCTCTTTATGTAGACCTCATTTTGTGCTTATCGAATGACCTGTTCCTACAGTTGACAGTCCGCCTAATAAATGCCAATCTCGTTCGGAACAAATGTAACCTACTCAATGTACTCAGGATGTTGAAAAGCCACGCCGAACAGCTTGCAACACCAAATACTGAGTTGTTCAACTTGTGCGTGACCAATTACAGACCATTAAACGTTTGTGGGTCAATTGACTGATCAAATTATTATTAGACTTGCGGTCCGCTTCAGTTTGCTGATAAGCTTTAACTTCCGGTTGTTGATGTCATTGCGTATGTTTTTCTTTTTTTAACTTCATTTGTTGATACAAGTGCTGAGAATTTGCGCTTTAGTTTTTTTCTTTCTGTCAAGTTCATTGTTGTTGCAGTCCTTTCCGGCCTGTTCTTCAGTGTGTCTTGGAATAAAATAAGCTAATCTGCTTCCAAGCTACTTCACTTACAGCACACAAGTTACCGCATGCAATCATAACTTCAAAGTTGGTGTGGTTCAGAATACCAGTCTTCTTGTGTCACATGAAACTTCCCACTTGTGATTTCATTGTATAGTTTACTAACAACT